AAAAAAAAAAAAAAAAATCCAGAGTTTTGTTTTCTTTATTAGATAGTCAACTTCTAAGTTCTAACCAGGTGTGTGGTTAAAGACTCGTAAAACTTTCAATTCAACCCCCCTTTATCACCCACTGCAAATAAAAGTCGATTTTCTTCACGGGTTTTCTCAGGTCATTCCAGTTCAAAAGTTCACACCACGCAAAACCCACTTTCTATCTCTCTCCCAAAAAATTTTAAGGGAGAAAATTCACCACCCCATAAAAGGACATGACCAAAAAAAAGGGGAAATTTTTTCCCATTAATAAATGTCGGGTAACTCTCATTTTGCCTTCGGACGCCGACACACGCGAACAAATTCAACAACTTTGTCAAAAATCACATATTTGAGCTGGGGTTCTTGCGTATTTGCTCGTTTTCTTTCTAGTACCTTGTGATTTTAGGTTTTTCGTCTCTTGTCTTGTTGGAGATGTCTGTGGAGTCGAGTTCAGGTGATCATGGCGGGCATAATATCAAGGGGGTCCCCACTCATGGTGGGAGATATGTTCAGTACAATGTGTACGGAAATTTGTTTGAGGTTTCCAGAAAGTACGTCCCGCTGAGGCCCGTGGGACGCGGGGCTTATGGTATTGTTTGGTAAAGATCAAGTCTTTTTTTTTTATTTTTCTTGTTTTTCAGTGCAATTTCTTGATGTTTGAGTTCATGGGTTCTGCTTGTTTGTTTCTCATAAAGTTGATAGGAGTTGGTTCTTGCACACTTTTATCGAAAAAGACGAGCATTTTTCACGAGTTTGCTAGCTTTTGCTTGGGTTGATTGCTTAATGATTCAAGCTTCTCTGCTGTGTGATAGTAATAAAGAGGTCATGCCACTAAACTTTTTGTTGTTTTGTTATCTACTTAAGTTAGTTATATCCTGAGATTCTTAACTTTTTTTGTTTGGCTATCTTTTTCCAAAATTATCTTATAAGAAAACTCTCACCTCTATGAAATGAAGTGTGATGAAAGATGTGTGTGTTGTGGGATCTCTCTCATGTGTAGTTCTTCCAGTAGTAGAATATGAAATGTTCCTTGGATTAGTTTTTTGTTCGAATTTACTCTTAGTTACGATTGTCTATAGTTGTTCACTACTGACAAGAGGATAAGATGAGTACTGAATCCTCGAACATCTGGTTGTAGATGATATTCAAACGGTTGTCGTAATAAGTTTTTATTATTCTTATGTACTTAGTCTGCTGCCATTATTTTGTTTATGTTTTGTTTTTGCCATGAAATATATTATCCTCATCCCTTTAAGTATTGGATATTGCATGTAGGTCATGTCAATCTTGAAACTCATGTCATATTGAAATGAAATTGAGATACCATTTTTTTGAAAATACAAACCAACCTAAAGTATGTTGGGTTAAGAGAACAGTATCCTTTGAAATGCACCCTGGCTGTCTTATATTAGTAGCTTTCATGTGGAAAAAAGTTTCACACGTACACACACACACACACTGACATATCTCATACTTGTGCGACCGAATGTTTTACTGTAAAGTGACATGGCATGTATTTTTTTTTTTCAATCCTATGTATTTTATTTGCTTCAGTGCCGCTGTAAACTCAGAGACACGTGAAGAAGTTGCTATTAAAAAGATTGGGAATGCATTTGACAATAGAATTGATGCAAAGAGAACATTGAGGGAAATTAAACTTCTACGTCACATGGATCATGATAATGTGAGTATTCCACATTGATTTTGCAATTCTTGAGTTTCAAATCTTTCTGTCTTCTTTTATTTTCTTTATTCTCTAATTTTTTTTTATTGATTTTTGGTCTTAACAGGTGATTGCAATTAAAGACATTATACGCCCCCCACTGAAAGAAAACTTTAATGATGTCTACATTGTGTATGAACTTATGGATACTGATCTTCATCAGATTATCCAGTCAACCCAACCATTGACTGATGACCATTGTCGGGTTTGGCCTTTGCTTGCTTACGTCTATTTAGCTCACATATTATGAACCATAGTTAGTTATTGTGTTGCTTTGTCTGTCATTACCTTTGGAAAGTGGCGCAAGAATATGGAAGAGTGTGTTGTGGGATGTATTTTAAAATAAGTTTGAAAATTTCTCATAATCTATGTGCATCTAACATATCTGTTGTTTAAATATAAATACACAAATCTAAAGAACAAATTGATGTTCACATCGATTTTAATCATCATCATCGAACTGCATTTTCTTTCTTTTTAATTTAGATTTTACTATTTTAGACAGAATTTATGACAAGAGATGATGATGGTGGGTTCATCTTCCAGCAGAGGAACCCAAAATAAATAAATTGATTAAAAAAAAAAAGTGAAAAGGAAGTAATGAGTCTTTGAATACTTCATTCCTTCTACAATTTTTTTATCTAAATTTTTTGCAGTACTTTCTTTACCAAATCCTTCGAGGGCTCAAATACGTTCACTCAGCTCACGTCTTGCACCGTGACCTTAAACCGAGCAATTTACTGCTCAATGCTAATTGTGATCTGAAAATCGGGGATTTCGGGCTAGCCAGGACAACATCAGAAACTGATTTCATGACTGAATATGTTGTGACTCGCTGGTATAGAGCACCTGAATTGCTCCTAAATTGTTCAGAATACACTGCTGCTATTGATATATGGTCTGTGGGTTGCATACTCGGTGAAATCATGACGAGAAAACCTCTTTTTCCTGGCAAAGATTATGTACATCAGCTGAGACTTATAACTGAGGTACTTTTTTATTTTAGTTTAATTTACTTGCAAAATGATTGAGCTATCATTGTAAATGAAAAATATTTCCTGGACATTTGAACAAAATTACTTCATTGAGGCGTATTTGTGATTTCCTGAGAGCTGGAGGGGGGTATTGCAAATTTTGGAAGATAAATATGGCTTCAAGGCTAGTTTGTAATTATATCTTCTTTTTCTTTTCTTTTTTTAAGTGACTGTTAAATTTTGTTTCCCTCTTCAAAAGCTTATAGGCTCTCCAGATGATGCGAGTCTCGGTTTCCTTCGAAGTGACAATGCGCGAAGGTATGTTAGGCAGCTTCCTCAGTATCCTAGGCAACAATTTGCTGCTCGATTTCCCAACACTTCTGCTGGAGCTTTGGATTTATTAGAGAAAATGCTCGTTTTTGACCCAAGCAGGCGTATCACTGGTAATGATACATAATTTGCTAAATATTTTTTGAAAAGTTCATTTTCATTACTTGAATTATGGATATAGAGCTACAACAAACACGGTATGGAAGTTGAAATCTTCTGGAAAAAAGATTTGTTATCTAATATAAGAAAAGTGTTATCGGCATTCAAGCCAGAAACATATAAAAATTAAATGAATTAACTGTTTTTTGGATCATAATCGACTTTCCTTTCTTCTTTTCCTTTTTTTTTTTAATGAAATTTTGCAGTTGATGTGGCTCTGTGTCATCCGTACTTGGCTCCTCTTCACGACATAAATGACGAGCCAGTTTGCCCTCGACCTTTTGTTTTCGATTTTGAGCAGCCATCATTTACTGAGGAGAATATCAAGGAGCTCATATGGAGGGAGTCCGTTAAATTCAACCCTGACCCGTCTCACTGAGAGGCTCATACAATTGTAACACGCTGATATTGAGACTCTTTCGAATACATCTGTTAAAAAAAAACTCTGTAATGACACTCTTTCGACATCTGTCGAGAAACTCGTTAATGAGGATCGGTTTGAATAGCAGTCCCCCTAAAGGAAATGGAATACAGAAATAGTTTGCAGTTTGGAGTTCTTAGGATGTTTTATAGCTGCAATTTTATGGATTCTTATGTTGGGTCTTGTTACATTTTGCAGTGGTGAGCAGTGATGTATAAAAGAGTTTGAAGTAATATTTTGCTGTGAAGAAGGATATTACTGTGTGTTTAAGTTTGATTGAAGGGTGTTGTTAGTTCATTAAAAAAGGTTCCTTCGGACATGATGTGATTTATCATCACTGTGATGTATATATATATATATAGGAAGATGCTAGAGATTTGTAACCGTTACCTCAACTATCTTTAACGGTTACATGATGACCTAACGGTTACAAACCCTGACGAAATGCAGTAGCACTACCGTGTGTCCTGGCACACCTAGCTAGGTGTGCCAGGGTAGTTTTGCACGCGCCTCCCTCACCCCAAAAACAAGAAAATTTGGAGAGTGTAGTGCACATTTCTATTTTTCTTTTTTTTAATTGAAAAATGAGACATATTACATAAATTAAAATATCATTAATTATTTATATTAAAAAAATAAAATAAAAATACCGAAATTCATAATTTTTCATTATCTATAAATAGAGACCACGTTTGATAGGTTTTGAACACAACTAATTTTCGTTTTTTCGTAATTATTTTATTATACTGAGATATAATGAACATGTTACATAATAAAATGAATATGTTTTCAAATATGATGAACATGTTACAGATTGCAAATTGAAATAATACATATTCATCTTATTTTATAACATGTTCACCTTATTGTGTATGTAACATGTTCATCTTATTCTATAACATGTTCATTTTATTATGTAACATGTTCATCTTATTCTATAACATGTTCATTTTATTACGTAACATGTTCACCTTATTGTGTATGTAACATGTTATTCTTATTCTATAACATGTTCATTTTATTATGTAACACGTTCATCTAAATTTCATCTGTGAAAATGTAACATTTTTCATTTTATTCTATGACATGTTCATCTTACTCTATAACATGTTCATCTTACTATGTGTATTCATCTAATTATAGATTTATGTCATAATCTTCCAAT